GGAGGAATCATTGGGGGGGAGGGGGGGGGGCCGGCCGAACCGGGATCATATATATATATATATATGTGTGTGTGTGTGTATGTATATGTATATGTGTATGTATATGTGGACTAAGTATATCTATCTATCTAAATATATATATATATATATATGTAGAGGAAGGTTTTGGGGCAAGTTGTAGTATAACACTGGGGTTTCGGATGGAGGGTTTCGGGCCCGCGGCTTCAGGCTTCCTAGGCTTTGGGCTGGGGGAAGTTTGGGGTTTAGGGTTTAGGGTTTAGGGTTTAGGGTTTAGTTTGGGTGAGGTCTTGACGAAGTGACCATCCTGAGCTTAGGGTTTGAAGGACAAGCGGATTTAGGGTGCAGGGTTCAGGGTTTTCGGCTTTAGGGTTCAGGGTTCAGGGATCATAACAGTTGAGGATGTTGCATTTAGGGGTAGGCACTACCTGAACCCCCCAAACACCTACTTTAGAAGGAGATAGACAAGGAACTCACCATGAGGAACGCTCTTCTGGGTTCACGTGGACCCTAAACCCTAAACCCTAAAGCCTAAACCCTAAAGCCCTAAACCCGAAACCCTAAACCCAAAGCTCTACCCCAAACATTGACACGAGACTTCAAGCCTAGAGACCCACAACCTCCTGAGCCAGGGGTTCCCTCCACAGGTTAGGTGCATTGCCTCATAGGGGCCTTAATACCTGGAAGTGGATGGGATGGGATTTTGGGTAAGTTCTCGTATAACCATCCACGGACTGTAGGGTTTACGGAGCAGGGGCTTTGGAATCTCTGTTTCAGGGTAACAGCCTACATAGGGCCTACATGGCCTTGGTGCTTACGGCTTAAGGGCACCGAGGGACCTACCTACTTGCTTGCAGCCGGATAGTAGGGCTTAGAGTCCCAAACCATGCACCCTAAAGTTTCGGAATGCAGCAAGTTGTCAGCGTTTCGTGCTGTCTACCGAAGTCCAGTGTCATTGATAGTTAGAATGATAGGCAGAGACTCTACATGGGTAGTTCTATGAAGTAGGGCCCCTTTTTTGGGCCCCCGAAATAGTGCGGCACCCTTATAAACAGGATCCTAAAAGAGACCCTGTTATAGAGAACTACCCACATGAACACAACTCGGAGGACGCCCTTGCAGAACAGGGAGACTGAATATCGTGAGACCTTATTATAGTTTAGGGTATAATTATAGACCTTATAGTTTAGGGTTTAGGGCTTCGGGTTGAATTAGGGTTTAGGGTTTAGACCTTAAAGTTTAGGGTTTAGGGTTTGGGGTTTATATAATTGGGGTTTATATTTTAGGCTTCAGGGTTCAGCGTTTAGGGTTTAGGGTCCTTGCCGTCCGTGCCAGCTTCGCCATGATACAGACTGTCCACACGAACGCTAATCCTAACTGAACCAAAAGCCCTGGAGGCCAAAACCCCAATGTCGCACCCGACCCACAGCCCCTGAACCTTTGAAGCCCTAAGCCAGCCTCAAACCCCAACCAGCATGCACAACACCCTGACTGCTAAGTTGAAGGCTTACCCTAAACCTCAAACCCTAAACCCTAAACCTGCAAACCTGAACCCGACACCTAAACTCTGAACCCTCAAACTTTCTCCAGCCGTTTGGCGCTCGATGATCTCGGGGGTCACCGGTGGCAGCTCGCGGTAAATGCGGTTCCTGGGTTTCGCCGGAGGTGCAGACTTCGGGTTCATCGGACTCCACATGGTATATTATCGGGGCCTTAATAGTTAGAATTGGGTTTTGGTATATTTAACACTATACTTATAATGAGGAAGCCCAAGAATAATATTTGCAACTAGTTGGGCCGCTGTCTTCCACTGGCTCATGGGATTGGAACGAGCACCTGAGCAGAACAGGGTTCTGGCCCCTCCTTTGCGAAGCCAAGAGCAGCAAAAGTCCAGTTCTGAAAGCTCAGACCTCACCCTAAGCCCTACAATCCCTAAACTCAAAACGTTATGCCTATAACCCCTAAACCCTTGCGCCAAAACCGCAGCGCAAACTCGACTGCAAGCTCTCAGCTCTCAGCATCAAGCGGGAAAGCCCCAATCGCAGGCTTTTATTAAGTTTCAGACTCAGAGGTTTAGGTTCAATAAGGGGTTATGGAGGTTAGGGGTCAGGGGTTTAAACTTCAGGGTTTAGGGGTTTAGGATTCCAAACGGCTCAAGGTTCAGAGGTGAGAGCTTGTGCTGCAGACCCTCAAAACCGACAAACACACACGTTCTTCGGTTGTCTTATCCCTTTAGGGGCTTTAACATTAAAAACGGGTTCCCCGGAGAAAAGTACTTATATAGTTGATAGTCTAGTAGGAGTACGCCACGCCATCAACTGAACCCTAAATCCTAAACCCTAAACCCTGAACCGTAAATCCTGAACCCTAAATGCCCCAACCCCTATAATCCTGAGACACATGTATGGGCTTATACATCAGGAGTCTACATTAAGAGGCCTACATATGACCGGGGTCTGGGGATGTAGACAAACTTGTCCCTTCCCGCGGCGAAGGACAATGTGTGTGTGTGTGTGGGTGTGTGTGTGTGTGTGTGTGTGCGTGTGTGCGTGTGAGTGTGTGCGTGTGCGTGTGCGTGTGCGTGTGCGTGTGCGTGTGCGTGTGCGTGTGCGTGTGCGTGTGCGTGTGCCTGTGCCTGTGCCTGTGCCTGTGGGTGTGGGTGTGGGTGTGGGTGTGGGTGTGGGTGTGGGTGTGGGTGTGGGTGTGGGTGTGGGTGTGGGTGTGGGTGGGTGTGTGTGTGTGTGTGTGTGTGCGTGTGTGTGGGTTTAGGGTTTAGAGTTTAGGGGTTTAGGGATTAGGGATTAGGGTTGAGGGTTCTTTAGGGGCCTTAATTAGAATAGGGTTTTGGGGCCCACTATACGGACCATACTATAACAATGATAAGGACCCCCCCCCCCCCCAAATAGTATAGGCAATTATTAAGGCCTCTATACTACGGGGCTTGGCACAGTTACAACCCGTAGTATGCCCAGCGTAGATCCCACTAGACTGCACAACACGCAGCACCCCATTCCAAGAACGATGTTCCGTTTCGAGTATACCCTACAAAGAAATAAATAAAAAATATACATATACAACCTCCTCATGAAAAAAGTACCTTAAAGGAACCCCATTTTAAGGGACAGTTGAACCCTATTAGACACACAATCCCTACAAGGACCCAAGTACAACCCTTAGAGACGGCCTGAAGGGGACGCTATGGGACCCGCAAGAGCTGGGATCCTCGCAGGACCTCATTCATGATCACTGCCAGGTGGGGCTTCACCTGCAAGGAGCACGATGAGTCTGGGATTTAGGGTTCAGGGTTTAAGGGCACAAAGGGCCCTCCTTGGGCTCCGACTACCTGCTGTTGCAAGGGAAACCCCCATGCAATTGGGGTCAAAACCTGTTACCTTGCAGGTTGTGGGCCACCAGGCAATATTCAGGTCGTCTTGATCTTAGGATGGCAGTACGTAGTGCGGTCAAGAGTGTTCGGGTGAGTATACTATGACGATGAGGTACTTGGATCGGCAAGGCGATTTATGAAGGATCCACACTAGAACCAAGGCATTATTCTTCTGAAGGCACGGCCCGATGGGGGTTTCGTGTTTCGGCTTAATATAGGCGCCTTAAAAATTAGAATAGGGTTTTGGGGCCCATTATACTATAATTATAATAAGGAACCACCAAAATAGCATAGGTAATAATTAAGGCCCCTACATTAGGGTTCAGGGCTTGGGCTTAGGGCTCCAGACGATGGCGTTGTAAGGGTTCAGCGTTTTCGGGTGCTTCTCTTACTCCGGGTTTTGTACTCCATGGCTTTCAGACATGGGTCTCAAGGGAAGGGCATCGGAATTTTTGGGTCCATGGAGCCACCAGAAAACCCCCGAATCCAGAGCTTAAGCCGCAGAAGCTTTATGAATCCTGGTCAGCAGCACATAGCAACCTTTAGGCCGCCCATGAATACCCTAAACCTCCAAGTTTAGGGTTTATGATTTTAGGGCTTTGGGTTTAGGGTTTTAGGGTTTAGGCTTTTTGGGCTTTTAGGGTTTTACGGTTTAGGGTGAAGGGTCAGCAAGCAAGCATATATAAACACTCGCAGAGTGCAAGAGTTCCTGTGGGCCGCCTTCCTGCCGATGGTGCCCATACGCTCCTGGAACTTGCGCACCTGAAGCATCTTCGAGCTTGAGGTGTTCATAAGAGTGACTATAAGGGTTAGGGTTTAGGGTTTGAAAGTCCGGTAGCTCACTGAGTG